GTTTATGTATTACTTAAATATATATATATATATATATATATATATAGACATTTTGGAATTCCTCGCACAACAGGAATTTCAGTTTCTAAACAGGTTTATCTAACAGACATTTGCGAATGCTACTGTCAGACTAATAAGAGGTTAATAAAACAGCAGGCAACCACCAGTTTCTCTTTCACAAAGTTTCTAGTACACAACCTATATGATCTCCACTGATCCTGTGACCAATAGTCCTGGCATTACTCCCTAAATCAGATATCTAGTATCCTGTCATGATTTTGTTCTTACCAAGCAACTATAATGCCAAATTTTCTGAATTCTTTTGCTTAATATTTAGGATATTTTCTATGTACATGTATGTAACGTTCATTTACAAATACTTCTTAAGTATTAATATTGCTGCATAGACTTTAGTGAACCATAATAAATGCAAGACCCATTAAGGAGTACAGAAAGTTGTCATATTTGCATTGTAATAGCCAAATAAAATAGGGGCAAGAACTATACTCTGTGGGGAAAATATTTTCCTGCAGAAAGTCCTCAAATATTTTGCAAAACCTTCTTCGTAAAATCCCAAACTTCTCCAGGTTCTCTCATTCCTCCAATAATATCGAAGCAATGCCGTCAACATGCTCATGTTTTTGGTGGATCTTTGTGGACGACTCTCTTCCTCACTAACATACATTTTTACACATGAAATTGAAGATTTAATAGCAAAGTGTTTTTTCTAGACTGGGTGCTTTGTCAGATCTGCACTTATCCTTTTGCTTTTCAGAGTAAACTATAAGTTCCTTCAGCACCACCCATTAAGAATCTGATCAAGAGCCAATTGGCTTAGGGAATCTTTCCACTGACATCAATGGGCTTTCTATCAGACCCTAAAAGGAAGACTGAGAAGATTGTACAGTTTTCCAATACTTCAGGAATTAAAAGTCTAATCAGTGAAAATGTAGTAATAAAGTCAAAATAAATAAAAATAAAAATAAAATAAAAAATAAAAATAAAAACAATGATGCTCCAAGACCCCGTTCAAAATTATAGGAAAAAACAGAAGGCAACCATGAAAGACTGAATGGTTCTAACACAAAATTACTGAGACTACTTGTTCAGTAAAATACTACTCAGCACAAATAAGGATGACTGAATCTGGCCTATTATCTATTTAAAAAAATAATAATCAGGATTTGCTCTCTTTCTGTTTATTCCCCTCCTTGTGCCACTACCAGAGAGAGTGTGTGTGTGGGGGGGGGGGGGGAAGGGCGGTAAGAGCACCAAACTGGGTTTAAAATGGAATTTAAAATAAAGAATATAATTTCACCACTTACTGTGTTATTTTGGTTTAGCACTGTCAAGCTTTATTATTATTGAATTTTGCAATAATTGAGAGGAACAATGTAAAATCTCTATATAAAAAGAATATATGCAAACACTATGCATATTCATATATACCCTTAATTTTACCTACCTATAACGTAAACCCAGCAAAGATAATTTAACTAAAGATATCTTTGGACATAATCAGGATATGAGAAGAGGAGAACTGGCATGAATTAAGGAAAATGCCACCATAACAAAGCCAGAACAAACCTAGAATGTCCACATGTGTGTTAAGGCAGTAACACTGGCAATTTTATAAAATGAAATCCACTACTCAAACACAGAAGGCAAGGGATCAGACTGATCTGTTGCAATTTCAGCCCCTACTCTTATGGAAAGAGCTATAATTGAACTGCAAGGCAATAATCCCAAAGAATGAGAAATGTGCTTAGGAAAAATATAAAAACTTGTTTATGACAAAGACTAACAATGTTTTGATGTCAAAATAAACAAACACCTGGATCAACATTTAAAAAAAAATGTATTCCAAATAGAGATAAAATTTAGCAAAAGCTTATTTTCACTGCTGGTAACCCAGCAGAGAAAATAAAACTATCAGAGAGGCAGCTGGATTCTATTCCTTTTTGTACATCAACAAAATAGTTTATAGAGTCCAACTGCAAGGCCAGTGAGTTACACCTTTACAGCCCCACTGAGAGCAATGAGATTACACAAGTGTTGCCATGGGCACCGTTTGGCCTGGAAAACTTTTCTCACTGTCAGCAATGCGTGATAAGGAAAGAACCAAGCCTGACTTTTAGATACCAAGATGAGTTTGCAGTGCTGGTACACCTCTACCCTTATATAACGCTGTCCTCGGGAGCCAAAAAAATCTTACCGCGTTATAGGTGAAACCGCATTATATCGAACTTGCTTTTATCCGGCAGCCCCGTCCCCCCAGAGCACTGCTTTACCGCATTATATCCGAATTCATGTTATATCAGGTCGCGTTATATCGGGATAGAAGTGTACTTGTAAAAAGTTCTTTTCTTTTTAATCTGCAAACAGAGCACTGTTGATTTGGAAACAGAGAGATCATAAAAATGTATCAGAGGGGTAGCCATGTTAGTCTGGATCTGTAAAAAGCAACAGAGGGTCCTGTGGCACCTTTAAGACTAACAGATGTATTGGAACATAAGCTTTCGTGGGTGAATACCCACTTCGTCAGACACATGCTCTAATACATCTGTTAGTCTTAAAGGTGCCACAGGACTCTCTGTTGCTTTTTATCATAAAAATGGAATCTCATAATACCTCTTAAAAAAAAAGAATTACTTTTCAGAGTAGAAGCTAATTTTGTATTTTGTAAATTATTTTATATATTCCGTTTAAGTAAGAATAAATTCCTAGGGCTTGCATCTCACTGAATGAACAAACTAATGTTACTATTGTATCATGAAATTAGAATAACCTGCAATTAAAGTAATTTGAGAGCCAAAAATCAAATTGCAGGGCACGGTTTTCAGCCAAATAGTCAATGATAATTTATTGCACTTACAAGTTTTCTTCTCTGCCTACATTTATTGATTGGTCACAGTGTTCAATTCTGAGGACTGGCAATGTTGTTTCCACTGTTTCTCCTGGTCTCCTGTCATTTGTGAGGTACAGCTTAGAAAACTTCTGTATTTGATCTAAAGAAGACAGACATCGACTATTATCAGACTAGTGAAATGGATCAAAAGTGACTGAAATGGAATAAAGAAGTAAAAAGGTTAGCACAGTGGTAGCACAATGTACTAGCATGAAGAGGGATCACATTTAGAGGCCTTTGCTCCTGTAGATGGGAATACCAGAGCCAGCACACTAGAAATACCTCATCCCTCTCTGAAACACCACCACTCTATTTTGCTATTTTACGGTGACTGGTCTCAGAAACCTAGTCCTGTCATTATCAGATGGAAACAGTCACTATGCCGTAGAGACACTGATGTGGAAGGAAAAGCAAATAGCACAAATAAAGATTCTTAGAACTTCAGAGGAATTAACAAATGTTTATTCCAGTTATACAAGTGACAAATAACTCAACAGGACCCAATTCTCCTCTCCTTTGAAGCCTCTGGTAAATCTCTTACTGCCTTCAATGAGAACAGTATCTAATCCACAAAGTACAGCATTTGATATACACAAACAAAGGGCAACCTTTGTCCTCCTAGATACACGTGCTTAACTCCTACTGAATTCAGTGAGAACTGTACATGAAAATCTGAGGGCAGAATTCAACTAATGGTGCTTATAAAGAGAATACATTCAGTAGCATACAATATGAATTAAAGCATAACATAGAAAAGTGTTCTAGAAACATCACAATACCTAATTGTTGTCTAGATTTTCCTGTTTTGCTGTAGAATTTATCTCGCTCTTTCTTTAAGTTTATATGTACCACACAACGGTACTGATGTCCACTGAGCAAACTGAAGATCCAAAGCTGAAGGAGGAGGACAGAATCAGTCACAGCATCAGCTTTTTGACACTGACGATAACACTCATTCACAGTGTGGAGTTAATAATTAGGCTGATAAAACACTAAATAACAAATTAATACCATTTACCCCTCACACTGGAGCATCTCATTGCTTAAACAGCATATTTTAGGAAATTTTAATATCACAAGTGCAGAATTTATAACACAAAGAGTCAATCACATGTATTCATGTTTTAACAATACCAAGGAAGATTTTCAAAGGCCAGAAGGCAGTAAGAAGCCTAACCCCCATTGACTTTCAATGGGAGTTAGGTGTCTAACTGCTGTTTGTACCTTTGAAAATCCCCCCCATCATCTTTTTGAAATGATTATAAATTGTTACAGAAACCTTTGGAAACTTGCATGCGATATCTCATTGGCTCATATATGTCCTTTATTGCTTACACTTTCTAGACACTACAACAGTCTAGCCTTTCATTTTCTCCACACTCCTCTGAACTGGTGCAGTGGGTGAATAAAGCATTTTATGGCTATAGCAAGATGTTTTTTAAAAAACAAACAAACAATCTTAAAGATTGACTAAACTACAAATTACCACAGATCTCAATTTGCAAAGATTCCCAGCAAGACTCGCCCATATACTTCTAGCTTAGAGTTATACTGACTGGCCAATAAATAAAAAAATTAATTGATTTTCACACCTCATTTTAAAACAAACTTGCAACTTCTCAGTCTGCATACACAGTATATTCTATTACCGATATGTGATTTTAAACAGCTTTAACAATGTATTTAGAAAAGTTTTTCCATTTAGTTTTAAAGCTCAGTTCTATGCTATCAGTAATCAAAATTAAGGTTTAGAGCAGTGAATTATGCTAATTAAAGTTGTCTTTGGAACAATTCCAAATACAGAGATTGTGACACTTCCTGATACACAGGATATTCCTAAATGTTTTGATATTTTGACAGAAATTAATGTTTACAGCATTTGCTTGATTCTCACCTGCCCATCAGCACATCCTGTAATAATCTGTTTATTTTCTTCATCAATGAACAGACTTAGCAAAGGAAATGCTGTTAAAAAAAATGCAGTTATTTTTATAATACACATAAATCAGATTTTATATTTAAAAATATGGTGCCAATTCAGTCAATGGGCCATAAGCACATGCTAATGTGCCTTCTCAAATTGTGGTAAAAGAAAACAAAACAGCTCCTTTCATCATGTGTGTATCCTAATTAGAATAAAAATGAGCATAAATAGCATGTATTGTGATTGCCCTAAGAAAATATTAACACAGCATTTATGTAAAAGCTATTACAGTATGCACACACAATGGGAAGATTCCCTTGTGCCATACATAACATCTCATGAATGACAAGAACAAGGTGCTCAGATATAATGGGGACTAGTATAACATAAAATACCTATTGTACTAAATGAGATGTCACTAATACTAACACAAATAAAATGTGCATATGCAATACCTTTAGTTAGGCAAGTTATATTTTACGCAAGTAGGCCAAAAATTTCTAACTTGGCACTAAATCTGTATTTTCAGGGATGCTGCAGTTCCCACCGACTTCAAATTTGCAAATTAAGGCCTAGTATTTACCGGCTAACTGTGCTATTTTGAGTATATCAACCCACAAAGGTGGACACTTATTTTTTTCTTAGTGTGAAAGGTGCTTTCCTTTCAAAGGCAGGCATAGAAAGAAAGAAAACCATACCTGTTAACACTGCTGATTGGTATATTAGCAATCCAGTACAATAGTCCCAAACCTTTGGGAAAAACGTACATTAAAATGTAAATATTTAGATAATTATGAAAAATAAAATTATAAGAAAATTATATCTGAAGTAAAAAGTAAAACATTGCAAACTGATATAAACTATAAATCTACATCAAGTGATGAATCTAGAGAAATACAGACATTAAAAAAGGCAATGACTAGACAGGGTTCTGTTCAACATACTCCTTATGAGATGAATTTGTTCACTACACAGTTTAAGCCTGGCAAAACGTGTGTATAGACAAATTTAACTAAATCATTTTAGAAACTAATTAAATTAGTGCTATCCTCTTGTGAGGACATATTTAAATGGGTTTAAGAATGCTTTATATCATTTAACTTATGTCAGATCCTCATCACCTTAAGCTAAATCAACATAGACATTCAAAATGATTTCGGAGTGGCCACACAAGGAACTTGCACCAGTTTAACCAGTTTCTAAAACAATTTAGTTAAAATCAGTACAACTTTTTGGTGCTGACAAAGCCTAAGCTAGCCATGCATAAATGCAAGTCACAAGCTTCCTTAAGAAATGACATAGCACGTTATGGTTAAAATTTTACTACAAAATGCAATTTTCAAAGTTTCCTAACTCAGCTAAATCTAAAAACAATTTTCACTAGACCACTCAGGGCATGTCTACACTGCAAAATTAAGTCGACTTAGTTAAGTCAAGTCAACACACAGCCACTACAGAAACTAAGTTGGTTGTGCATGTCTACGCTATGGTCCTTGTGTCGGTGGAGCACATCATAACTAGCAGTGCTTTCACTGATGCAGAGAGCTACCTTGGGTAGCTATCCCACTGTTCTTCTACAGCCCATATTTCGTGCCTGTTTTCAAAAGCCTATCAAACCCACGCGTTCACCATCTCTACAGAAGCATGAATCCCATACAGTTCTTCACTACTGCAAACGCCACGCGCCTGATTCCAGTATTTCCAGAGCCGCTAGAGGAGTCACCATGCAGAATATGACAATTCCTTTCAAATAGCCCTGCTGGAAACCATGGAAAGAAACAATTCCTGGTTGCTGTTGACAGTCATGGAGCAGCTGAACACAGTGGAGTGTCAGTTCTTGTCCCAAGAAACAAGCACTGACTGGTAGGATCGCATCGTTATGGCGAACACTGGCTGCAGAACTTTGGGATGCACAAGGCCACTTTCCTGGAAAAGTGCAAGGAACTCGCCCCAGCCCTCTGGCGCAGTGACACTAAAATGAGAGCTCCACTGACAGCAGAGAAGCAATAATAAGTCAAAACAACAAAAATTTTCACTGAACAAAAAGTTTCAAAAGAATTTTATTCAGAAATGTCCAAATGAAATGAAACGAAACATTTTGACATTCCTGCATTGAAACATTTTATTTCAGTGTGTTTAACTGACTTGGAACATTATGTTGACATTAAACTGCATCTTCCTCAGGTAACACAGTACCTCGTGGGACCTGTCTCATGCTCCAATTTTTCCCTATGGGTTGGACTCCCCAGCCAGACTACATTTCCCTATCACGTAACTTGATCAAAGGGCAGACCACAGTGTATCACGGAAGATATAGTCTGGCCAAGGAACCTGCCCATAGGAGAGAATGGGGGTATGAAGCATCCAAACTAAAACTCCCATGAGGCACTGCAGCAGCATAGGAAGATGCAGTTTCATTTCACATTGGTCAACATCAAACTTTTCGGTTCAGTTAAACAAACTGAAATATTTCAATTAGGGTCAAACTGACCTGACGCAAAATATTTAATTTAGATTTTGCTGATGGAAAATTCTGATTTTGTGGAAACTGCATTTTTTCCTTCAAAAAATCATTTTGATGGAAATTCCCAACCAGTTCAACTAAGGAGCAGGGAATCAATGGGTATTTGTTTTATATCATCTTGATTAAAGATCAATGTTGATAAACGCTAAGTAATGCACATCAGAAAACATAATTCCAACTACACATACAAAATGACGGGTCTAAATTAGCTGTTTCCATTCAAGAAGGAGATCTTGGAGTCACTGTGGATAGTTCTCTGAAAACATCTGCTCAATTTGCCGTGGCAGTCAAAAAAGCTAACAGAATGTTAGGAACCATTAGGGAAAGTATCAATAATCAGACAGAAAATATAATGCCACACTATCAATACTTTGTGCATTTCAGGTTGTCCCATATCAAAAAAGATATATTAGAATTGGAAAAAGTATAGAGAAGGGAAATAAAGTTCCTGGAGGATAGGATATTATCCATGGATATTAGCCAAGATGGTCAGGTACTCAGTCCCATGCTCTAGACATCCCTAAACCTCTGACTGCCAGAAGTTGGGACTAGACCACAGTGGAAGGATCTCTAAATACATTGCCATGTTCTATTCATTCCTTCTGAAGCATCTAACACCAGCCACTGTTAGAAGACCGTATACTGGGCTAGATGGTCCACTGATCTGACCCAGTATGGCCATTCTTATATTAAATATTTAAAGAGGGAAATGCCCATTTTACTCCAATAGACTAAATGTGTTAAAAGTAGAGTATAATTTCCTTACCTTAAAGCTTCTGTCTTCAGAGACTGATATAAGCATATTTCTCTCCCAGGTGCAAAACTCAGCTGCAGTCACTGGAGCCAGATGGCCTTCCAACTCAGTTAATATAGCCTCATTCTGTGATTAGTTGAACAAGAAAGAAAAGTAGATCAAACTTAAAAATAAAAGTTTCATTTGTTCTGACTTAAGTAATTAAAACATACACTACAAAAAGAATGTCAAACTGGGGCACATTTTACTATTTAACTTACACCTGTTTTCTTACTCCCAAATGTATTGTATCCCTGGCAAAAATCACTGTCTATTGTATTCCCTTCTCCAATCATAACATATAAAAATGCTTTCACGTTCATCTATAAATTTCTCTGTCATCCTCAATGGATTTACACACCCTTATTATTTGTGCTAATGTTTTCCCCAGTAATGAGAATAAATCAACATGCCTGTATTTTTTTTCCTTCCTCCCGTTCCCCCTCCCAACTTCTTAAAGACTGATACCACGCTATATTTTTCTTGGCACCAATTCTGCTCTCAAAATCATGTAATAATTGTTTACCATTTATTTCCAGTGTTAATCTAGGTCACAACAAAAAGTTATAGAGGCACTGCAACTCCATTAAGTTTTACTGAGTTCTATTTTGCACTTAAATAGGGGATTCAACCTCTGTTTTGTATGAAAAATTCAGTGTATCCTCTCCAAACTTACCACACTTACTCTTAGAGTACAAAATATTTTTTTCTGAGAATTTACAAATAAATCTATTAAAACTATTTAAAAATGGGTCCTTTAAGACATGTAGCATCTGAGTCAGTCTTTTCTTTATCAAAAAAATATCTTAACAATTAAATAAAACAGACACAAACATTCCATGTAGTTAAAATTAATTGAAATTGTGTGCATATTTGAAGTCAGGTTGTAATTAAACAAAATTATTTATGATTGGTGTACCTAACTGCTATGATTGAATAAGCTACACAGACTCAGGTCAATAGCTCAAGTAACTCTAAAAGAGGCCACTGTGACATAAAAAGTACCTCAACCAATCACCATCTCCTGTACAGCTAATTTGCATGTAACGATTATATTGGTTGTAGTATGAGGAAGACTGGGTATGTGTCAACAGTTCTTACTGCTAGGTTACATGGAATCTTTAAAGAGCAGTGATAGTTGGGCAGCATGCTAGCTTGATCATAAGTGTTTGAAAGGTTCCCATGGCACCATTGCCTCAACTCCGCTGTGCATTAAGGCAACACATCTGAGAGAACTGCAACAAGGCACCAGTCTCACTAATACAGCAAGCCATTAAGTCAACTGCAAATTAAGGGAAAGATTTACTAGTATGCTTTGTGCTTCTCTGGTGACTAGCTGATCCACTCTAGTTACTTTGTGGTAATGGTGTATCTGCCCTTGAAAATTCAAATTTAAAAAAATAATTTAAGACTGATGCTATATCCTCAGATCCTTAGAGATACTGCATGGGAGCATTCATCTTTGGGTTTTTTGTTTAGTGTGTGTGTATAAAACTTTTAGTAATTAAAAAAATAAGGATATTCCCAGATAAAAAGCTGTGTATTAAAAAGAAGTTATGGTTGAGAATAAATATCAGTAACTGTGGAGTAAAAAACATTATAGGGATGTTGTAATTATCTCAAAACTAAGCATTATAAGCCAAGTTAACCTGTGCTCGACTGTCGGGACTGATTGGACTGTAGTGAAGGAACCACGGGTAAATATATACGTTTATTTCCATTACAGTGATGGCACCCCCAACTTAGCAGGACACAGCTACTGACTCTGCATTAATTTACTCATACCAGAAGAGGTAGTGGTACAACAAAGAGGTAGAATTGTTATCTGCTTTTATTCTCCTGTAGAATCAGGCCGGGGGAGGAAGGGGACATGCAGAGTAGTTTGTTGATGTACACAGCAATGTCCCTTGAATCCTCCTGAGAGAGCCTGATGAAACTTTCATGGAAGTACTCTGCAATCCTCTCCTGAAGGTTTCTAGGGATGGCAGCCTTATTTCTTCCTCCGCAGTATGAAACTTTCTCATGCCAGTCTGTGATAACTTAGGCAGGCACCACTGCAGTAAACAGACTAGTGGCATATAGGCCAGGTGTCTTTAGAATTGACGCCAACCCCACATCAATGGAGAATCCAAGAAGACAATGGACACCTAACAACCAGCAACTCAAAAGGAGATGGATTTCCACATCTCTCAGCAGTGAAATTGAGCAACAGCCCCCAACTTGAGAACAAAGGACTGGGGAGGTGGGAGGATAAGGGTTGGCTGCTGGAAGGAGGGGGGCTCTCACCTGGGATCTGACCAAAGAGGTCAGACTGAGAAACAGAGTTTGAACAATTGGGTTTACTACAGCATGGCTGGGTTCAGGAGTAACCAGAATGGACTTGGGCTATGCTTTAACCTTCAGTTCTCTATGCTAACCTAGAGGGCTTCCTATGCCGTGTTCCAGTTAACTAATAAACCCTACTGTTTTGGCAACACTGTTTGAATGTCACTACGAACGCTTCAGGAGGTGCATTAATCCCTGAAGAGTGTGCAAGTCTCCAATAGGAGCCTATAACAGCTGGATTTGCTGAACAGAACTCATGGTGTGAAGCAGGAGTGCTGGAGTCCTAGAGGTGAGGCTGTATGGTCTATCCTGGAGGAAGAATGAGACCTCTTGGGGGTCTGGCAAACAGAAAGAATTCCTTCTACAGACTGTTACAAAGCTGGGGGTATAGCACCAATCCTGTGGATCCATGAAAGGGACACCAGCAGCAGCTGTCCTCTTTGTCCCCTTGTTATTCTCAGAAGTGAGATAGCGACTAAAATCACCACCACATGTGGAAAACAGTATTCAGTGCCATTGCCCTATACAAATAGTTTCAGATAATTAAGCAAATCCCTACTCACTTCCCTTGCCCCTGGTGGGCCATACTAACCGTGGCTGGTACTGTAAGTGTTGTCGTGCACAAACACTCTGAAGGATGAGTGTCAATAATTATGTCTTCTTTAAAACTTTAGGGGAGCAAGGGAAGGGCATTCTGAATCTTAACTTTCACTTTCTGTTGTGACTACACTGACAAAGATACTTTAGCAGTTGCGTCATTGCACCCTTGAGGGGACCCCTCTCCGCACCTGCAGCATGTCTTACCCAGATAAGAAGGAGAAAGAAGAGGACTCAGGATGACATGTTCAGACAGATCCTGCAAGCCACTGCTGCACCAGATCATGAACAGAAGGCCTGGAGGATGAATATTGCAGACTGTATGGAGAAGGAAATAGACAGGAGAAAGGCCCAGAAGTCCCTGCAGGAAAAAGGAGGAGATGCACCAAGACATAATGGGGCTTTGCCAGCAGCAAACACAGATGCTGCAGACTCTTGTGGACCCACAGGTTCAACAAGCACAGGCTCATCTACCTTTGCAGTCCATGCAGAACTCCATTACAGTACTTCCACCACCCTCAACATTCCATATGGCATTAGGGGCCACATCCCTACCCCTACCACTCCACTCTGGGGGACAGTAAGGACAACCACAGCTTTGCATACACTGACCTGTGAGAGTCACAATTGGCTGTATGTGTAGCCAAAATGGACATGGATGTTCTTTTCCCCTTAATAAATTAATGGACCAGAACTTAAATTTTTTAATGTATTTGCTTTAAAATTGCACAGGTTTTTTGTTTGTTTGTTTTTGGAGGTTGTTTTGTTACTCAATAAAATTCTGTTTGGAAAATAATTTAATCTTCATTAGTTCATAACATATGCTGCAAAGTGCCAAGTGGTACTGAAAACACTCACTTAGTTGTTATTGTACAGAGTGACAATTCACAGGAACAGGGATAAACAGTGTAATAATCAAATCATAAATGTACAGCAAGCACCACAAAATCAATAGGTGCATTGATAGTGTTATAGTCATAGATGTGTACCAAGCACCACACAATTCCTAACAGACCCCAAAACTGCAGAGCCAGGTAGAACACAGTCCACCACAACACACTACTGTGGCTCTCTGTCAAAGTGCTCTTTAAAGGAGACTCTGAATTTTATGGCTCCGGGTTGAGCTTTTCTAATAGCCCTTGTGTTTGGTTGTTCAAGCTCAGTAGACAGCTGCTCCACCTTTGCACACTTACTGAGGCTCCTTCCTCTGCATCCACCCCAGTGGCAATTTTTTCCCCTTTGCCTCACAGATATTATGCAGGACACAACAGGCAGCTATAACCACTGGGATTATTTTTCGCACTGACATCCAGTCTTGTGAGGAAACAATGTCATTGTCTTTTCAATCTACCAAAAGCACATTCAATTTTCATTCTGCACCTGCTGGGCTGGTAGTTGAATCTTTCCTTGGTGCCGTTGAGGTGGTCAGTGTACAGATTCATGAGCCAGGGGAACAAAGGTTAGGCTGGGCCCCCAGGATCACTATTGGCATTTCAACATCACCAACATTAATCCATCAGTTAAAGCATGTAACTTTAACAGTTCTGTGCTCTTAAAGATGCAAGCATCATACACCTTCCATGACCAGCCAATGTTGATGTTGGTGAAACATCCTCAGTGATCCACCAACACTTGCATAACCATAGAAAAGTAGCTCTTTCTGTTGATGCACTCTGGGGCAAGGGGGCCTGCTGCTAAAATAGGGATGTGTATGATGTCTTTCACAGTTCAGGAACTCCATTGCTGAAAATCCATCCATTACATCCTGCACATTGCCAAGAGTCACAGTCCTGCACAGCAGGAGGCGATTAATGGTCCCACATACTTGCATATCAACAGCCTGCACAATGGATTTTCCAACTCCAAAATGATTTCCCACTGACTGGTAGTGATCAAGCATTGCAAGCTTCCACAGTAAGATCGTCACTTGTATCTTCACTGTCAGTGCTGCTCTTATTCTGATGTCCCTGTACTGGAGACCTGGAGTGAGTGCGACACAGATCCAGGAATGTGGCCTTGGTCAGCCAAAAAGTTCTGAAGTCACTGCTCATCATCCCAAGCCTGCATTACAATGTGATCCCACCAGTCAGTACTCGTTTCTCGGGCCCAGAAGCAGCGCTCCACCTGTCTGCAGCTGCTCCATGAATGAACGCCACCCAACAACCTTGAATTTTCACCATGTCCCACAGCAGTCTGTCCTCCATGAAATCATCCTGTTCCCGCTGATTTGTTTCTTCTTGCCACTCTGCAAATACTAGAGGATTGTGTGTCCAGTGCTTGCTATGCTCATGACAATAGTACAGAGCTGTGCAGATTCCATGCTTCTGTGAGAGCTGGACAACAGCGAGGAGGGCCTGAAGGTTCATGGGATATTTTTAAAAGGCACAAAAATTATGGGATATGGGTGACATTATGGGATGGAGAAAGTTGCATGCTGGGAAGTTGACCCTTTGCTCCCAGTCATCCATACACGACTTGTTTCTGCTCCACCGCGCATTGCCAAAACTTCCCAAAAGACATTGCACTGGATAGTGACAAGTTGCACACTGGGATACCTACCCACAATGCACAACACTGTGCATCAACAAAAGCATGCCTGGTGAGCACATGCATCCTCGATGCAAGGAGCCTAATATGTAGGCACACGAGTAATGTACTAACTACGGCGGCTTTATGATGATTTCTTTTAAGTGCAACCTTAATTCTGAATTTCCTCAGTTTATAATGCTTAATTTGGGAATAGTTACAACATCCTTGTAATGTTTTCTACCTTTAAGTTACTGACACATATTCTGAACCTTAACATCATCTTAACATTGTCTTTTGTCTAGGATATATACTAATATCAAGCATTAGACCATGCCAATTGTCATCTACGAGCAGATGAACATTTTTGCTCAATAAGTATTAGGTTTTCTGAAAAACATGTTGCTTTTAATTAGTATGGTTTAATTTGAAACTGAACATGTTTCTAGAATCTTTAACATCTATTTTCAAGAGAAAAGAAAACTCACCTTTGCATTTAACATATATATCCGATTTCCAGCACATACTGCCACAGCTTGGTCATCTGGACTAAATCGTACATAAAGCACCATTCCCAAAAGAGTTCCTATAACAATTCCTCGAGGCATTAACCCTATAGTAATTTTAAAAGATTAGTATTGTGTCATAAAAACAAAAATTCAAACACTTCAATATACTATTAAATTTAAAGCATAACTATAAATTTAGTAACTGAATGGCTACTACAGGTCAATAGCCACTCAAAAGTTATGTGTTGAGCTTTTCATTTAAAACAGGACTTTATTCTCTTTATTTCACTCTTTAATTTCACTCTTTCTTCTCCAAATTTATAATTAACATTCAGGAGACAACTTCTAGGGAAGCTTCTGAATAAATTGTTTGCTCAATTTTATACTAAAAACATTTAAGTCATCCAGTTTTCAAATGTAGCCCAAAATAGCTTGCCAATTTTTGTCTTTTTATAACAGAATATTTGGGGATGGGGGCGGAATTAACTTGTGTATCTATAGCAGGAAGGTCTCATGACCAGCTTACCTAGTGGTCAGATCGTCGCTTTACAGTTTCTGCTGCTCTAGTTGTCCGAGAGGGCACCAGCTGTGGCCTCAATCACCCCCTTGTGCTGCCATTACTCCCCCAGAGCTTGGTTACTACAAGGGAGCCAGGTGGAAGGTGGCCCAAGGTAGGGGAACCCAGGCCCACCCACTCCACCAGATCCCATGGCCCTAGGGTATATCAAAGTGCCCAGCTCCAGTTACTGAGCGACACCAAATAATGTTTCCCCTTGGGTCACTTCCTACCAGTCTGAACCTCCTCAGCTTGGGGCGTGATTACTGGTTTAGCAGAGGAGTCTCTCCTCGGTCTGTCTGGGTTCGGTCAATTTTTCTTAAGGCTTTCAACTCTCCAAGGAGAGGAGGGGGCACCCAAGTCCCTCTTGCTAGCACAGCCTTCACAAAGCTGTTGCCACTCCCTTCACAGCTCTCAGCATCAGCCTCGCTTCCTGGTTCCATATGCAGCTCACTCCCCACTTTCTCCTGGGCTACCAGTGCTCTTTTAAACTTTTCCTCCACTGGGAATACGCCTTGCACCTGTTGAAGGGCAGGGACTCCCTAGCCCTTGAACACCTTCTGCACCCCAATCCCCTGCCCGGAGTCCCTTCCCACACCCGAAATCCCTCCTGGAGCCCACATCCCACATACCCCCAACCCCCTGCCCCAGCCTGGAGCCCGCTCGTGTATTCCAAACCCCTCATCCCCAGCCTCAGCCCAGAGCCCTCACCCCCACACCAGCCCCCTACCCTAGCCCTGAGCCCCCTCCCTCACCCAAACTCCCTCCCGAAGCCCACACCAGGGCCACCCGGGGGGACGGGGGCAAGTGGAGTAATTTGCCCTGGGCCCCACAGGGGCCCCCAGCCCTGCCTCCGCCTTCCCCTATCCCCCAGCACCTCAGTGTGCTGCATCCGGAGCAGCCCTGAACAGCGCTGCAGCGGCATGCCCTGAGCTCCTCCCACTGAGTCAGAGCCGCGTGGTAAGGGGGCAGGGCTGCGAGCTCCGGTCCTGCTGGAGCCACACCGCTGCAGCGTTGTCCAGGGGGGAGGGCAGCCAGGGCCGCCCAGAGGATTCAAGGGGTCTGGGGTCTTCGGCGGCAGGGGGCCCCCGCCGCCAAATTGCTGCCGAAGACCCAGCACTTCGGCGGCGGGTCCCGGGGTGGAAGGACCCCCCTGCCGCGGGTCTTCAGGGCACTTCTGCAGTGGGTCCCAGAGCGGAAGGACCCCCCGCCGCCGAACTGCCGCTGAAGACCCGGAGCGGAAGAAGCTCCAGGGGCCCGGGGCCCCACGAGAGTTTTCTGGGGCCCCCAGAGCGAGTGAAGGACCCCGCACCAATGGCCCTGAAAAACTCTCATGGGGGTCCCTGCGGGGCCTGGGGCAAATTGCCCCACTTGCCCCCCCCCGGGCGGCCCTGAGGGCAGCTCCTGGACACGGCGCACTGAGGCTCCGAGAGAGGGGAGAGGCGGCGATAACCCAAGAGCGACCCTGGACAGCGCTGCAGGGGCGGGGGCGGTCAGGGGATGGGGGTTGGATCATGGGCGTTCCAGGAGTCTGTCAGGACTCGGTGGGGAGGTGGATGGGGTCGGGGCACTCAGGGGACAGGGGGAGGTTGGTGGGGGGTGGGGTCCCAGGGGAGTGATTGGGGGGGCGATGAGGGGACAAGGAGCAGGATGGGTCAGAGATTCTGAGAGGGCCAGTCGGGGGGTAGGAAGTGGGTGGGGGTCGGATGGGGGCAGGGCCAGGCTGTTTGGGGAGGCATAGCCTTCCCTACCCTAAAGCTCATTTAGCAGTTTGAGGCTTGCAGACAGCCATTTAACACAATGAGCCAAGCTGTTATCTTTTCTCTTAGGGCTACCATCCCTTTCACTTCTCAAACGCCAAATTATAGTCTACGTTTAATTTCAGTGCCATAGGGAGATTCATGTCAGAGGAGGGTAGCTTCATTTAAAATTAGCCTCTTTAGATTAACAGTGATAGAGCCAAGAGAGCCATGGGGGAGGGATCACATGAGAAGAGCAATATCATACACCACCTACCTCCTTCCCAACCCTACCAAGGGAGACCCCCCTCCCCTGCATTTCCCAAGGCCCCAGAGGGGTTAATTCAGTGGTTCTCAAACTTTTGTACTGGTGACCCTTTCACATAGCAAACCTCTGAGTGAGACCCCCCTTATAAATTAAAAACACTTTTTTATATATTTAACACTATTATAAATGCTGGAGGCAAAGCAGGGTTTGAGGTGGAGTCTGACAGCTCACGACCCCCAGTAATAACCTCGTGACCCCCGAGGGGTCCCAACCCCCAGTTTGAGAACCCCTGGGTTAATTTAATTTTAGCACCCTGTGTCCATTCACATGCATGTGCTATTTTGAGCATTTCGGTTTTCACAACATAGGCTCATCCCAGATTCTGAAACAAGCTCAAATGCTCAGTTCGTGGAGTATGTTCATAAGCTATACTAAAGACAACCCACAGTAACTATCTCCAGTGTGTGAGGGACCCCATGGAGCCAGTCTCTAGGAAACAGATAAATTCATGGAGGTTAAGTCCATTAATGGCTATTAGCCAGGATGGGTAAGGAATGGTGTTCCTGGCCTCTGTTTGTCAGAGGGTGGACATGGATGGCAGGAGAGAGATCACTTGATCATTACCTATTAGGTTCACTCCCTCTGGGGCACCTGGCATTGGCCACGGTCGGTAGACAGGACACTGGGCTGGATGGACCTTTGGTCTGACCCAGTATGGCCATTCTTATGTTCTAACCTAAATGAACCCAAGGTTATGGAGACAGATATGAGTCAAGGAAGCCAGCAGAGTATCAGAAACCTGGAAAAATATCTGACTGGATGGGTTCAGGCGTTTGGTCACAAGCTGAGGTGGTTCAAAAGTTTTGGATTTTTTTTAAGCAGAATTTTTTTTGTTGTTTCTTTAAACAATCAAACACAGCAAGCAGCAAATATTTGGCCATGCACTTCTGAAACCCCAAACCATATTCAGGTTTTGGCAGACTAATTTCAGCTTTTCAATTAAAAAAAAACACAACAAATTTTGAAGGAAAGCAGACATTGTCCATGATTTTTTCTGTTTTTTAAAAACCCCTAGTTTTCGATCCAAAAAAAAAGTTTTGATGGAAAATATTTGTCCAACCCTTTTAATGAGCTTTAGTGCCTTTTAGCACTAGCTGAGGCGGAGAACCAAGTCAGCTTGTAAAGGTGACTTGAGAAGAAGCTCTCTCAAAACTGGGTTTGTGCCGAGATGCAGAAAGTTTTTAAATGTTTATTTTTCCCAGGGCTGCCCCAGGGGCAGGGAGGGGGGAAGTGGGGCAATTGGGAAGGGCCCCCAAAATTGCTTTGCCCTGGCCCCCCTGAATCCTCTGGGCAGCCCTGGCCCACACACCCCCAACCCCCTGCCCCAGCCCCCTCCTGCATCCCAAACCCCTCATCCTCAGCCCCACCCCAGAGCCCTCACCCTCTTCCCATACCCCAACCTCCTGCCCCAGCCTAGTGAGAGTGAGGGAAGGAGGGGGAGAGTGAGCCACAGAGGGAGGGGGGATGGAACGAGCAGGGGGCAGGGCCTCGGAGAAGGGGCAGGAGGTCCCTGAAAATTTTTAAATCAAAATGGGGGTCCTCGGGTTGCTAATGTTTGAGAACTGTTGACCTATAGTATCCCACTAGCCCCAGGAAGCTGTGTACTTGTCTCTTCATAGAGGAGACCTGGCCTTGTGACAAGGCCTTTACCTTCCTTATGAATGGGCATAGCTGTCCCCCACTCACACTGTGGTAGTAGGGTTACCATATTTCCACAATCAAAAAAAGAAGACAATGGGGGAGGAAGCCCTGCCCTAGCCCCGCCCCATCCACTCCCTCCCACCCCGACTGTCCCCCTCAGAACCCCAACACCCCCTGCTTCTTGTGCTCTGACTGCCCCCTGCTGAGAACCCCCCACCCTAACTGCCCCCCTAGGATCCTACCTGTCCCCTGACTGCCCCAACCCTTATCCACTCGCATGGGTGGCAGGGTTGTAGAAATTTTGGTGGTGCGCAGAACCCACCCCCCCCACACACACACTTGCCTAAGGCTCTGGGCAGCGGGTCGTGAACTGTCAGGTTGGAGGGAGGTTACCAGTGGAGTTCCTCAAGGTTCTGTTTTGGGTCCGATTTTATTTAATCTATTTATTACTGACCTCGGAACAGAATGTAGGAGTGTGCTGATAAAGTTTGCGGATGACACAAAGTTGGGAGGCATTGCCAATTCGGAGAAGGATTGGGATATCCTGCAGGGAGATTTGGATGACCTTGTAAACTGGAGTAATAGTAATAGGATGAAATTTAATAGTGAGAAGGGTAAGGTTATGCATTTAGGGATGACTAACAAGAATTTTAGTTATAAGCTGGGGCCGCAGCGCTTGGAAGTAACGGAAGAGGAGAAGGACCTCGGAGTCCTGGTTGATCGCAGGATGACTATGAGTCGGCAATGTGACGTGGCTGTGAAAAAAGCTAATGCGGTCTTGGGATGCATTAGGCGAGGTATTTCTAGTAGGGATAAGGAGGTGCTGGTTCCGTTATACAA